GTAACAAAGGGCATGGCTACTAGGAGCAAGGACGCTACTAGGGGCTCTATTCTTGCGACCTTTGAGGCCCAGAAGTCAGGAGCACAACTCCAGCGCTGTGCCTGGCACCCGAGACGAGAGGTTGACGGAGGGTCCCGACAATCAGAGCCGCGCTGCAACGCGCTGCAACAGGTGCAGTACTTTGACTCTCACGAGCAAAGAGGCTTCCGCCAGGAGGAAAGCCCAGGCCCTCAGCCTCTTCGGACCTTTCAGATGTGACTACCTCTTGATTCATGAATTCATGAAGACTAGATTTGTTGGCCAGGTCAGGTTCTTCGGCTGCGGATTGAGCTGGCGGTGCGCTGCACAGACTATTCTTTTCCATGTTGTATGTTGCTGAACCGAAGAGTTTATGCATACAGGCAGACTGATCGTACAATGACAGGGGCACGTATTGTTGCAGCTGGATTGTACCTCCAAAGAAAGAAACACTACACGAAGTCACAGATACGAGCCCTTCATGTGAGGTTGTGGTGCTGCTGCTGAGTGTGTTTTTGATTCCTGCATCAGCCAGGCACTGTGTGGAACCACTAGACACAAGCACAAGCGCTTGAGCACGATTTGCATCAATCCTTCAGCCGCAAGCATCCATACCAGCCACCTTTGCACAGGCAGACCATCCATGGTGCCTTTGTGACATTCACAGAGCCCATTGCTGTCAGATACTGATTCCGTCTACTGTAAATCCCTCTGTCTGTTTTTGTCGAGGGAGCAACAATATTTCAGGCGGTTGCTGCCTACATTGACATGGGGTCACTACTCCCGTTTGGGTCAGCGATATCCCGTCTATTCGTGGGCTCCCCAGCAGTCTGGTCTGGCTCGAGCACTGACAGAGCTGGCTTGTGTGATTTCTGCTGAATCTTCTTGCGACGTGGAGTGTGACAAGGCATTCAATATCCTGGTGGTGTTCCTGCTGCTTGCTGTTGCCATCCTCTTAGTGCATGGTGGACAGACTGCCAATGGTGTTAGTTTGGAACCTCTGAACGATGACAAACTTCAGATTCCATGAACTTCCTCAGACTCTGAGGTGTTCTATTCCTTGCAGAAATAAGCCGCTTCCGCAATCCGTGATGCTTGTCGGAATCACAGGAGTAAGGATTGTGCTATTTAATTCTAATTGCTTCTTGTTACTACTAGTAAGGCACTTGTTACTACTAGTAAGGCACCTGTTCCTAGTAGCTTTTTCCCGGGAATGAGGTGATTCCTGAGAAAGCCTCAAATGAGTGGCATGCCGCCGGCATGCCTCATTCAGTAGAATGCCATCTTTGCTGCATCTAGGTTCATGGAGGCTGTGCCTTAGAAGCTGTGACTTGTGAGACTTAGGAGCTCTCGCAAACATATGTGCTATCAGAATTCATACTATCGGCTCTACTCTTGTGCAGACGTTCACGATTTCATGCAAGAGCATGCAGTGTACTGGTTAAGTATCCTGGTTTGCCTGTCATTGCGGTCATTGGACAAGAAAGCTCGGCACATCATAGGTGCACCTCGGAAAGGGTTCGGCCCCAAGCCAACACCTGTTATTTTTTAGCCCTCCAGCTGCGGCGGAGGTGCTGTGATTGGCTTGTGACAAACAGTTTGAATGTACAATAGACAGAGAAGGTTCATCCACCTCATCGAGACACCGAAGCGTTGGTGGCTCGCGATAATGCACTTGCCAAGAGCAACAAAAGCTCCTCAGAGATGGTTGCTGATGGGATACATGGTTGAAGCCGCCACTCAGTTTCTGTTCAGATGGGTCCAAATTGCCTATATAACTACCTGAACTTGCTTGCTGAAACTGACATACTCAATGCCCGTATATTTGGCTTTGATGCAGAATAGTCTTGCAGTAGTATTGAATATTGGGTGCAAGTGTGGGAGAAGCCCTCAGTTCAGCACCTGAACCCGTCCTTTGACACAAAGCAAGCAACATTGCAAGCAACCCATTGAGATTAACATTTGAGACAGCATCACGTTAAGTTGGAGGCCATCGCTTCTAAGTTGGAGACCATCGCTATTAGGCATGGCAGGCCATTGCCATTATTGGGTTGGAGGCCATAGCTATTAGCCTTAGTCTCGTGAGCAAAGCCAAGATGTTTCCGGCCGCTTGACGGATCGACACTTTGTCAGGAGCGCTGAATTAGGGTCCTGCCTGAGACGTTCACACTGCACTGTTCCCACGATCTTTTGGAGAGAGTGATGAGGTTTAATGCAGCTGCTATGATATACAAGCATGCAGGTTCATGGATTCTTGTGGACCAGAGCATTGCATGACATTTTCCAAAATCACGTCAACGTGATGATCAGGAGCTGTTTATGCCTGATGCGTCACAGGCCAGATCACATTGTGGATTCGTGGATAGTACTATGAATGAACTCTAGTGCAGTTTGGCACGCGGGCATGGTACGCACTCACTTCGAATGCAGGCTATATGCATCGATTCGGAAGAGGACCTTTGCATGACTGCAAATGATGTTCGTATGCTCCATGGTCCATGCACGCTAATGCGGCTTGCAAAGTGAAGGGTCTTCTGAGGTGATCTACACATGTCGCAGTCCAAAACTCTTTAAAAGACTTGGGAGGAAGCGCCGGCGCCGCCAAAAAAGCGAAAACACGTTGTGCAGACCGCAACATGTCGGCACATAAGCAGAGCTCCCTCGGCCTTCGGGATCTTGGTTGGCACCAAAGTTTGACAGACTGAGGCACCACAGCCGGTGATAGTGAGTTGCATTGACCTGGATGATGAGGACAAGTCCGACAAGGTGTGAGAGAGTGAGAGAGTGAGGGAGACATCATTGTGTTTGAGATTTCTTGAGAGAAAGGCGTGTTTGTGAAGCGCTCCGAGCCACAGAAAACATTGTGCATGGCCGAGCGGATCAGTGCCGCAGGTAAAACACACCAAGTGCAATGCAGATGCCGTTTGCTTATCATCTGACGAGGAGGTCAGCTGACCACGTTGTATGGAAAAAGGACGCTACTAGTAGCTCCTGGCCATACTACTAGGAACAAGAAGCTACTAGTAACAGAGGGCATCGCTACTAGGAGCAAGAAGCTATTAGTAGCTCCTGGCATTACTACTGAAACGCGTTTGGGGCGTTATCAGGCTCCAGCCATTGTGATACCACAAAAGCCCCAGACGGCTCTGCATACTCTGCACACGGTGCCCAAAGAGGCGGGTATTGCCAGTTTGACGTCCGAAAACATGTGCGAATATGAAGGTTCATTGTGCAGTACAAAAAGCCTTGTTACGAGTAGCTTCTTGCTCCTAGTAGCGATGCCAGGAGCCCCTAGTAGCGTCCTTGCTCCTAGTAGCGATGCCCTTTGCTCCTAGTAGCTTCTTTGCTCCTAGCAATTTTGCCACACATCTACATGGAGCTGTATAGGGAGAACCGCTTAGAGTGAATTGCTGAGATGATTCCAGCGATCTCAACTGCTTTAGCTTTACATTTTCTGCCACGCCTGCGTTGCCAAAATTAAAATCTGCAAGGCACTTTGTGAAGATGCCGTCGCTGATGAGTTCGAACGCCGGGCGCAGGAGCACCAATCAATGCACTGAACCTTTGAGCCTCTCGTGTTTCGCACTTGGAGGATCTTGCAGATGCAGCTTTGAGAAATCTGTCACCGGCAGCTCGTGCTGCCAGGATGGTCAAGGCAAGACATGAAGTTTCTGAGCGTTCAGCTCTGGCCTGACAAGAAGAAACTGTAAGAATCAACTCTCGGCAGGCAGACACCAGTGTATTTTGGACTTGGCTCAGCTTGCTGGAATCAAGGGGTATTTCCAGTCGTTTGCTTCCGGTGTTTGTGTTTTTGGGTGTGGCCGAAAGGGGTTGGTTTCTCGGGCAGCAATAAGCTGGCCGTTGCGGTCACTCATCGTTGCTTCTTTGAACACGAATTACACGGTGATACAGTGATACAGTGATACACTTTGCAACCTATTTGCCTAGCTTTCGTTTACCCCCACATTGCTGTCAACTTGTCAATCTCAGTCAACCCGCGCAGGTCAAGCATAGTATTCTATTACGCTTGCGCCAAGCAGCAGCTGAATGCTTGGGCCATAGAGCTCCAAGCACTGCATACAAAGTCAGCATTCACCATGATGCATGTCGCAACTAGGGATTCTGCGTTGCCAAGGCCGCCAAAGTGAGCCAATTACCCAGCCAGACCCACCGGCATGCCCTCCGCCACCCCCCGAGGACTGGCCAGTGCACCATGATTTTTGTGACGCACAGGTTGTTTCAATGCAGTCTTCTTTGTTTCTTTTCCAGAGGAGCCGAGTGAAGCACAGGGGAATGATGCGATAGCATTGTCTGCGCAGAAGCAGCAACTTCAAGATTGGGTCGAACGGAATCAACAGCGGCTGCAGCAAAGCCTAGTGCAGGGAGAGCAGCCACTTGACAAGAACCTTTTGCTCTTTTGGCACCAACCTTTGACCTTGTTCCTTACGGTTTGTTTGCCTTTTGTTTTTTCAGTTCTCACCCTGAGAAATGGGTCCAGGCAGCGCTTGGAAGGAGAGATGCAACGGCAAGCAGCCGAAAGAGACAGGCTGGCTGAGAGGGAGAAGCGGAAGGCCAGGCGTCGCCATGGAGTCTTCGTTTGATCCTGGCCTTACTACTAGGAGCAAGGACGCTACTAGGGGCTCCTGGCATCGCTACTAGTAACAAGAAGCTAAGGAGGAATTGCTGAGCAATTGATGTTGGAACCACTTTGAGAACTTCGAACAAGGCTCTGTGGAGCACTGGAGCTTCAGAAGGGTTCGGTGCCGGTGATGGGAGGCCGCAATGTGAGCTTCCTGCTACCAATTGCGTGCAATAGACTGCCAGGTTAACTGCGAATGGCTGGGAGAGTAGCCATTTTCACTCGACCAAGGCCTGGGCCTTCATTTTTGTCCTTTTTGAACGAGCTTTTACTGAAACCAGGAGCGGCTGAAGTTTTTGCGCTTGATGGGTGGACAGAAGTTTGTTGATGCAGCCCAAAACTTGGAGCCATAGATGCAAACGAGATGGAGCGACAGCAGGGGTTAGCACGAGCAAAAATACATTGACTTGGACTTGGAGTCTAGGCCTTTAGCATCTTTTGGCTGTTCGGCGTGACCTGCTTCAGTTTGAACCAAGGAGGGTGAGCTAGATGACGAAAAGGTCTTTGAGCTGATTGCTGGAGAATGGGTCGAAGCAAAAGAGGATGATGAGGAGGAGGCTGACGGAACAGCTAGCAGTTCCAGAAAAGACTCTTGATTGGTAAGGTGTCAAAAATGCAGAGACACAGAGACCACAGATCCTCTTGTCAAGGAGGACTTTGATATCAGGCAAGATGCCGCCACCGTCGAACTCCTGGCAGGCTCCTTGTTTCTTTGTCGCAGCCCCAAAGAGTAGCATTAAAAAGGCGGGGGGGGTAGGAACAAGAAGCTACTAGGAGCAAAGGGCATCGCTACT